AAATATTAAAAATAAATAAAAAAATTTCAGAGTTATCAATAGGACCATATTTTATAAAGCATTAAGCGATTAATTCAATTTTAATAATGGTCTTTCGTTTTCCTTATTATGAATAAATAAATAAAAAGTGTGGTAGTTACCCTGTAGGACTCTTTTTTGAGATTAAATTAATTTATAGTTCTGCTAAGACACTTTAAAAGCTATATTTTTTTATGTAAATACATATGACGACAGATTTCCTGCAGGGCATGTAAGCAAATTTTTTAAGATTTCATAAAAAGTGTATGGTTCCTCTAAGATAGTTTAAAAAGCTATGTATAACTTTTAGAAATATGATAATGTCTAAAGTTGACAACAGATTTCCTGCAGGGCACCTACGAATATCAGAAACACAAATTTCATTAATTATACACAATATCACTCCCCGCAAATAAGGTTGTTGGCAAGATTGAATAAAATATGTACAGACAAATCTACAGAAAAAGCACACGAAAACTTTACATTTTATTCAGCAATTAAATTATATTTTTTTTTCTCATCAAATTTTCAACAGCAGCACTACGAATTGGCGAAGTATTTTATTTAGATATTTATGTTTATTTTGTCCAATTAATTTTATTTTGCCGTAGCATAGTATATTGTATTTCTATTTTACTTGTATTTATATTTAGTAGTTTTTTTATTGTTATTGCTGTATTTATTGCTTACTATTAAACATTAAGTAAGTTAAAAAAGTAAGAAAAAATTAATTCAAAAAACGAAGAAATTGTGCCATACTCTCTTTTTCACTCTCTCTCACTCTCTCTCTATAAAAAACGTTGTTTTCTTCTCATCCACTGTGCTCTCTTTTCGTCTCATGCAGGTATTTTTTGATTTGATGCGCGAAATAAGATCCCGCAAAACCGAAGATTCCAAAGCGACTAGCGGGCGTGCTAAAGATAGATGCAAGAAGCGGAGACTTAAGTGTACACTACTTTAGGCGTATTTGTAGGTGCATAAGCAGACTCTAAGCAAATATAAGAAAACCAAAAAAAAAAGAGAAAAAGAAAATATGAGAACAAAAAAACACAAACAAAAACAAATACAAATGTAAAAAACAAGCGAACAAAGAATGTCAAAGAAACCCTTAACTCTACTCTACTCTCCCAACCACCAGACATCACATCGAATTAATAACCATATAACCTACATAGACGATCTGTGTATATGCAATAACAACAAAATTCCCAACCGAATTACCGAGAACCGTTTGTAGTATGTACCTTTCCTTCCGTTTGTTAAAAAAAAAAATTAAAAATTAAAATGAAATTCGTTGAAAAATTTTAGTACCTGCATTTAGTTCTATAAGCGCTCATACTAATTTGGTTAACTCGTATTTTTATAGAAATGCTACTTAATTGCTTACTAATTTATGTTATTAGCGGTATTTAGTCGACTTACGATTTGATTTGGCTTTTTCTTTAACACTGAGTTGCTAAAATGCAAACAAATTTTTAGTTTGTTTCAGTTAATTTTTTTTAAATTTTTTTGTTTTTAGTTCAAGCTTCCCGCTCCTTGCTGACTCTGCATGCACCACTAACCTTACTAATTACAGACAATGCAATATAAAACAGTGTACAATGTGTTTTTTATAAATAATGCTAAATTTATAGATATTTTTATTGCTTATAAAAAACAAGCATTCAGTTTTTGGCATGTTTCAGCGGTTCCCAAACAATAGCTTGATGTGTGAAGTGTGTTTTTGTACTCTGAATAGGTGAGCGGTTGCCATGAAGTTTGCAATAACCAAAAGGAAATGACGGAAGACTCCATAAAATATATGTATATATAAGTGATCAGCATGACGAGCTCGGTCGATTTAGTCCTGTCTGTCTGTCTTTGTATATGTGGAATAGCTCCTAAGTTTCAGTCTGATGTCGGTCTGAAATTTTGCACACGTTCATTTCTCTCTAAGAAGCTGCTCATTTGTCGGAACCGTCGATATTGCACCACCATACCTTATAGCTGTGATGCAAACTGGCCTATCGAAATCAAGTTTTGACAGTTTATCTACAGGAACTTTGAGGTGGATTACTAGCCAAATCTACAATCTCCGCACAATCCGTTATAGACCGTCATACAAATTGACCGATCAAAAATCCAGATGTATTATGAGGTTACATGAGTTTCCTCGTGTAAAAATAGCGTTTTTCAACAATTTTTTTGTCATATAAAAAATCAAATATTTTTTTTAGAATTTCGTATTGTTACTTACTCGGACGAAGGAAAAAATTAAAAAGGAGTTTTTTACAAAACAAAAAGTTAAAAATTTCCGAAATTTTTTTTATATAGTTGTATTCGAAAAAAATCCTTCACATTCGATTATCACCAAGCTAATTAAGTCTGCATTTCAAACTCGGCGTTAAGTCAATGTTGGGAAAATTCTTTATAGCGAGAATGCTTTTGAGGTTGGAAAAAAATCGACATGAGCTTAATCCAGAACAAACTTTGTATTTTCTATTAATTTTCATTGATTTGAGACACCGTGAGTTTGATAGAAGCTTTCGCATTCGCATATATTTATAAACGATCGGACCGACATGTATCAGTTTCCCCCTAAAATAGCACAAAATCTACTTTTTTCAAATTACCAACACTTGCGTCACTCAAAAACCTTTATCTCACTCACTACTGAAAAAGTTGAACTAATCGAACGGCCTAAAATGTGAAATTATCTGCTTATTGATCTGGGATCTCTCAATAAATCCATCGTTTGATGTGATGTGTGGGAAGTGGCGCCATCTTGTTGAAATCAAATGTCGCCGAGATCACGAACTTCCATTTGAGGCAGCAAATAGTCGGCTATCATGACGCAATAATGGTATCATTTTTGAGGAAATATAGACAGAAGAATCCACCAAAATGCGCCAAGTAGTTCCATACGTCAGTCCGAGTTGGTGGAACGCTTAACGCGTGAACTCTCAAAAGAAGGTTACTGGAAAAACGATCACTACTTGGACAACTCACTATTTTCTGCGTATATTTTATTTTCTTATCTCACATGTGATCCTAATTTTTTTATATGCCGCATTTAACATGGTTATCGAGTCACCCAGGTGATAAATGCCGTATTGGTAGCGTTCTCTCATTGCGACAGATAAAATATTTTTCGGCCATTATTTATTTGCAATAACTTTTTGTATTAAAATTATTCTTCAAATTGAGATTACAATTTGAAATTATGCCGATTCATAATAATAAGGCGCCTAATCATAATTTATATACCTTGAACAGGGTATATTAAGTTTGCCACGAAGTTTGCAAAGGAGACCCTAAAAAGTATATACTATATATAAATGATCAGTACGTTGAGCTGAGTCGATTTAGCCATGTCCGTTTGTCTGTCTGCCCATCTGTATATATACGAACTAGTCCCTCAGTTTTTAAGATATCATTTAGAAAATTTACAAACGTAATTTTCTCTTCAAGAAGCTGCTTATTTTTCGGAACTGCCGATATCGCACCACTATAACATATAGCTGCCATACAAGCTGAACGATTGGAATCAAGTTCTTGTATGGAAAACTTTCACACTTGACATTGTAAGGCCACAATGTAATCACCGAAAAAATTGTGCAAATCGGATTACTATAGCATATAGCTTCCATACAAACTGAACACATAGTTACTGAAAGAATTTGTTTATTATTGCTACACTTAAAATAATGCTTATATATATTGTAAATATTTACTTTAAGTCTATAGTCTAACATCTAAATGAATTATTAACAAGCTAATATAACTAGCGGCTTCAAAACTTAAACATACTAAAACATTGCACACCTACATATATACATATACATACATACTACAATATATGAACATACCTACAAACACAATCCTAACCTCTATGTACCCGGTTTTTTTATACTCCTACGATTTGCTTTTTGGTATTGGAGCTAAAACTTCTTGCTTCCAACATTTATTTCATTATTTCAATTTTGTGAGAATTTTCCAAATTTTGTTTTACTGTTTCTGAATGAGTTTGTTTGTATATATGA